CATGGCTATGTAATGTAGAATCCAATGTGACTCCTTTATTGGGTGGACCACCAAGGACATGGGTTCTATAATAGATGTATCAAGTGCGTATTACGCTCCCTGGAATCATCATGGAAATGGACAACCACCTGTTTGTATTTGGAAACGTCCAAGGGGCCATGCCATCGACTTTCATGATGATTCCAGGGCGTATTTCGGATCGTATCTTTATTCGCCCTTGAGGTGAGCTGCTGGAATCCTTGAGCTTGGGCCGTGACTTCGACCAACCCTTGGAACCGCTGGAATCCACGGCCTCGGGGCTTCAAACGTCACTTGGATGGCCGGAGCTGCCTGCGGCAGGAGTTGACCGTCAACTGTTGGGAGGCGACCGGCATGCCAGGGGCATTAGAGGCCATGCCAGACACAGAGGCCATCACAGTTGGCTGCATGGGACCATGAAATTGAGAATGGGACCATGAGAAAGGTCAAGACATGCCAAGACCAAAGGTTAAAATCCGCGAAACGCGACATGGTGGGTCTGCACTGTCTATGCCTCCTTGCAGCTTGCAGCATCAAGAACCACTGTGAAGGTGATTTTTGGGGGCGGAGTGACAGGTGGAGCTTGCATTTCCGTTCATCCGAGAGGGATACCTTTTGATGGGAAAACTGTCAAGACCCGTCAAGTCAGAAGCCGTGTCAGACGTGCCGCCATCCTGGGCAAAGCTGAACTTGCAGACAGCAAACTAAACTAAATTAACTAATTACTTGAGTTGAGTCCAGCAATGCCCTAGTTAAACAACCAAACCCGTCCCCGGTGTACCCAAGTTGGGATTCCATGTTTCACTTAAAGATCTCGGTGAGGTTGAACTTTGGGCAGAAGTTCAACCACCGTCTGCCAAAGCTCCCCAAGTCATTGCGGCACTTGTCCTTTGGAAGCTCCTTCAACCAGGATCTGCGGGAGGCGCCGGGAGAGAGCGGTGCAGCTCCTGCGGGAGCTAGCCGGAGAGCCGGAGACGGTGAGGGGCGGGTTTATAGTTTTGGGACCCTGGCAACCAATCTCTTGTTGTGAACGAAGTGTCATTGGCCAGACTGCTTCCTTACTCACCAGCCTTGAAACTGTTGGTGTTTTTTGTTTTAGTTTTATCAGAAGCATTGAAACAAGATGCCCTCACCAGTTCAAAAACATTGGAAAACACAGTTGGTAATGAGCACTCCTTCTACCAGGAGAGGGTTGCAGACAACGAATCAAAGGGGCCCCTGAAACCTCCAAGACTCTTATGAACAGGAAGCTCTTCATATAATCCGCCCTGTTGGGCTTGCGAAAGTAAGGAGGGACCCCTCAGAGGTTAGAAAGTTCCACCAGAGCTTCCTGGAAGGTAGAAGCCGAGTGTATATAGGGTGAATATCAACCACATTCATGACAAGTTATGATTAAGTTTAAGCTATGATTATATAATTTGGCTACCGTTTTGTTTTTATTTGGGCAGCGTTTGTTTTTGTCTTTCGCTTTTCCTCGGTTTGTTGGCTTGCGGCTCATGATGACGTTGGACATTCCTGGCCGTTGGCCTCCTTGTTCTTTTCATTTTGATATGATTCCTCCCTTTGATTGTGACCTCTAAGTCCTTAGGTTCAATTGTTTTCAACATAGTTAATATGTTTGTATATATATTTTGTTTCAGGATGCTTTATATGGCAATGTGATATATATATATATATGTTTTATGATATGATTTTATGGTATGACATGTTTATACTGATTTGGATATGGATTTTGGTATGGTGTTTGTGGAAGGTATGTTTTGGGACACACGTTTGGACATGGATTTGAATCGACTTTTATTCATCAGGGTCCAAGTCCGTTCCCAGCTGCATTCTGATGGTTGTTGGCAATATAAAATTACATGAACACCTGCAAGAATAGTAATAGCATGTAATAGCGTTTGTCGAGTCCTAAGAGCTTGGGCTGTCACAACACTATCGTCAGTCTGTGTTTTTGTTCCGTCCATTTCCGTCTAGTAACTAGTAATTCATTTGTGTTTTTCCTTTTGCCCTTAGAGTAAGTTTCTTTCCCTTTTGAAGTTCTTTAGTTCTTTTCTGTGGTCTTTGTCATTTTGCCTTTACCTTTCAATATATCCTTGTTCTCTTGGATATAAAATTGATTGTTTCCTGTTGGTTGCGACAGGTATTTGTCTTCAATTAGTGTTGGTTCTTTGCATATTAACCGTTCTTGGTTCTTTATATACAATTATATACATATTAACCGTTCTTGGTTGTTTGTTGATTCTAGTTTTCTATACTCGAAGTTCTGAAATCCACGTGGTAAAGGCGGAATCATGATTTTGTGGATGGCTTTCGAGGGTCGACACATGTGTCATTTTCGCCGTCGTTTTCACCGTAATGACATACCAGTTTTCACGGAACGCAACAAAAATGCAAACTTGTTGCACAGCAATCGCAGCACAATTTTCTTCAAACGGACATTTTGACCCTCAAGTATCCCGTATCCCCCTGCTTTCAGCATTTCTTCGGAACCGCCTTCATGGTTCGCGAAACAAATATGAACATGAAGTTCGTGAAGCAAAAGTGAAGACGAAGTTCATGAAGCAAAAATGAAGCTGACATTTAAGTCAGCACCATGCAGTTCCCCTTGTGACATGCACATGTTGGAATTCCAGAAGATGGAGTACGTGAAGCGAAGATGAATATTAAATTCATGAAACACAGATCTAATGTTCACGTTGAAGATCCAGTAACCCCACCTAACCCCCCAAACCCCACCCTCCCCAGTAAACACCGAACGTCATGATGTTCTGTGGTCATATAATACAATGTTACAGCAGTACATTGTCGGAAAAGAAGAACAAACACACACACAGACACTTGAGAAAGAGCTCGTAAGAACACAATTCAGGGTAGTACCAAAGGTGCATGAACACTGACTTACGATCTAGTTTTTGCATTACCCGCCCAGTATAGTGCAAGGACGACCTCAAACCTGGCAACAGACCTGCGAAAGGGAACAACAGGCAACCTTTTTGCATCACCAGTTGGAATGCAGGTACGTTCAGAGAGCATCCTCTCTGGATATCACATCCAAACAGCAGCGTCTTTGTTAGGCAGTGACTGCTGAATGGATCACTACTTCCCTGCGATTTGTCTGTAATGAACAGAACTGAATTAATCAGAGAGCGTGTATGGTGAATCCTCTTGAGACGGGATGTGTCAGTCACACACACACACGCAAAAAAGCAGCAGCCCATAACACCGTTGACACCGTGTTTGTTTTTTTTTGTTTGGGCATTTTCCTCTAAATTGCCGTTTGGATCCGTTTGGTACTTGAAGCGCACCCAAAAAGGTTCTGCGTTGTCGCGTGTTCGTTTTGTTTGTGGTTTGTTCTCCTGTTTGTTGTTTTTATCGGGCACGGACTAATTTCAAAAGGTGTGGTATTTGTGTTCATGTGGAAAGGCTCCAGGATTTTTTGGGCAAACGTCAAACGTAAGCCTTGTTTGTGGCCGAGGTGCTTCCGGAAAGCTTGGAGAGTTTGACTCTGGAAGAGGGTTTTTGCCGCAGCTTGGAGGGTGTTTTGCCTCAAGGCTTGCAGAGCTTGACGCTGAGAGGACCATTGGATCATCTCTTGCAACTTGGAGATGTGACAGTCAATTGGCAGGTAAGGATGGATCACTTGATCTCATGTTCTGGTTTCGTTCTCATCAAGGCATCCAACGTTTGTTGATTTCTTGGCAGCACATCATCAACGGGCAATTGTTTGTGAATGTCGGGTCAGAGATACATTCAAAACAACAACAACAACGACAACAACAACAACAATTGCCATTCAGGACATTTTTCGTTACATGTCTAGTCGGGAGCTTTTGACATGCTAAAACAAAATCATAGATTCTGATTCCACAGTCAATGTTGTAGGTGACAACTGCACTCGATAGAGGGATCAAATCTCACTCATGGTCATGGCTCCGAAAATAACCGCGACGTTTGGAATTTCTGTTGGGCGCCAAACAACTTGAGACCAACAACCCTCAGAAACCAAACCCAGTGGAATTGAGTCAGAAGTGCTCATTTGTCCATATCCGTTTACGCCCAAATGTGCCTTGATGCCACCCTTCCTTCGCAGACTGGGCTCAACTGAAGCTCCTCTCCATGGTTTTGATCCACAGAGCCCAGTCTGGGCTGGCAGAAGATGTCGCTTCCAAGGCAAGATGTCGACCTTCCCACAGGCCTGCAGCGGTTGACCTTGAAACCCACCGCGGAGGAGACATTGAATCTTTGCCTGGACTCTGAGTGCGGTGACTTTTGTCAGTGACGATATGTCCTCGTGGATGGAAACAGGATTCCAAAACGAAACGCCCAGATCCTCTCTGGGAAGCCTTCTAATTGGAGACAGTTGGAGGGACTTTGTCATGGTGGACGATGGCACATTTCGCATGAATCGTGCAGAAAAGGGGTTGCAGTTTTTGCTTGTACAACCGAGGAAAGGCTTGAGGTTTCCACATCAGTTACAACATCTCACCTTTGGCTGCTTGGAATTGACAACAATTATCCAGGGTTGAGCAAAGCAGTGTCTAAACACGACGTGGGAACACAGGGCATCCGGATTCTGCCCTGCAAACGCTGTTGATGTGTGTCGATACTGAAGCGGATCCAAACAGCAAGGATACATATACTGTATATATATATTATAGTGTTTAATATATAATATAAAATATTATATATAAATATATACAATTGTATTAGATTAACTGACCTTTAAAACTTCCAGGTGCTCATGCCGATGCATGTGAATGGTCAATCGGTTCCTTGATGCTCCACACCTGCGGTTCGGGATGTTTGATTATGATATTCATGGTGACCCATTTCCATTGACAGGGCCCAAAGCTATCTATTTTTTTGGAAACAACGCTGTTGAACAGTTGCTTGGGTGTCTTGCGGGCGTGGCCTGACAACGCCTTTTTTCTACCATCAAAGTTCAGTGGAATGAGCTTTTTTCCGGGCGCTCAGCTCAGGCTTCAGTTTCAATCAGAGCTTGGAGGATATGAAGCTCCCCGCAGCGCTTCAAAGCTTGACCTTGGGATATCACTTCAACCAAGCATTGCTTCAGCTTCCCAAAGATCTTCAGGTTTTGAGCTTTGGATATAGCTTTGACCAAAGCTTGGAGGCCGTGAGCTTTCCACACACCTTGCAGAGCATCTCCTTCGGGCATGACTTCAACCAAAGCCTGGAGCGTGTCCAGCCGCTGGGGCGTGACTCTAACCGTGTTTGCAGGATTGAACGGACAGATGGCCAGAAATCCAGGATGTCCTACTTGTCATGGTGTCATGAACGACTGACTCTCGCCCGGGCGGTCTCTTCGTCGCACGACCGTCTAAAAAAAAACATGATCCTCGGTACGAAAACCCGTCGTGGGACGTAGATCGGCAGATCAGCTGAGGCTTCCTCGAAAGCTGCAATCCTTGACGTTCGGACACAACTTTGATCAGAGTTTGGCATCCACGGTGTTCCCCGAAGGACCGAGGGACTGAGGGATCGACTTTTGGGCCCGACTGCAGCCATGACTATGACAGAACTAGCCGACTAGCAGGTGGTTTTGGCATCCAACTCTCAAGACTGGAGGCCTTTTTCTCGAGGCTCGCAGTAAAGTGAGGTGAGGAGCCAGCGAAACAGGGATCGAAAGTGAGGTGAGGTTTGGAGACAGATGATGTAAGTCCAATGGCCCACACCTGACAAATTCAATTGGGAAAAAGGTGCCCTTTCACGAACCCCAAAATGGCCCAATTGCCCGTTTGCAACACTCTTTTCTGGGTTAGGTGTTGTCCATGCATATGTATTTGTGCCAAAAAGAGTGAGTGAATCTCACTTGGAGTGAACATGCTGCAATGCTATGTCTTTTTCAGGACTTCGCAGCTTGACCTTTGGATACAACTTCGATCAGGCATTGGATGACGTGCATTTTCCTGAGAGCCTTGAGGTCTTGACCCTAGGAACACGTCACCTGGACCTACGCTGCAAAGGGTTTGTGGGTGTTCTGTTTGTTTTTTTCTTTGTGTGGCAAACAGGTTAGGAAGCACCTCCCTGCATAGGTATACAGTATACATAAATGGTAGGCAGTACCAACCAAGTCTGCAGCTGTTTCACTGAGAAACACTCCAATACCATGCAGTAAGTAAAGGCCTCAAGGCCAGAGCCAAGAAAGGTTAAACATGTTGTACAATGTTGTATTCTTGGCATATCTTGGCATTCTCATTCTCGGATTGTTTCTTGTGGTGCGCACTACCCGGTGTCTGAATATCTTGACATGTCCAAGCCGTTGACTATTTTTGACAGCGTACTTGAGACACAGGGTCTTGATTTTGAAGCATTGGCTCAGATTGAACTGATACGCAACATTTAAGGACTTTGGATTCTGAAGCCTTGCAACCACTGAGGATACTTTGCATCCCAGTGCATGGAGGGAACCGTAGAACCATCCCAAACATCTTGGCCATGCAAAACCCGTCCAACACTTGCTCCGTCGGTCGTCCTGGCCCAGGTTTCGACCAACCATTTCAAAACGTGACGTTGCCGAGTGGTCTTTTAAGCTTGACCCTGGGCGGCTCCTTCTCTCACAGCCGCCTGGGCAAAAGTGGTACCAGGGAGAGAAAGTTGGGTCATGTGTGTTAATTAAGCTCAACAAGAAGCTACGAGGTGGAGGCCATCGCTATTAGGTTGGAGGCCATCGCTACTAGTAACAAGATGCATCGCTACTAGTAGCTTCTTGTTACAAGTAGTAATCGATAGCCCCCTCCATTGGGTTCGAGTAAGGGGCCCAACCCTGACTTTGGCCAGAGATGTTTGTCCACCACTCGGTTAAGAAGCAACAGAGGTTATGGAGTTGTTTGCCATGTTTTTTGCTATATTTTGCTGGTTCCCAACAGCAGAATGCGCTTCAACCTCGGGCTGGGAGTGGTACAGTACGTGTGGTACAGCCAGCGCCCGAGTGTGTTTAACGCACCAAGTGCTTGCCACCGTCAGGTGTTGTCAGGTGCTATGTTCAGAATGCCCTGTAAGGTGCCGCCCTGCAACCTTGGAACCTTGGGTACTGTTGGGTGCTATGTTCAGACTGCCGCATTACCCTTGCAACCCGGTGCTGTCAGGTGGGGGCAAAATCCATACATCCAAATACAGAAAGGACTGAGAAGTTTCCTTGGTGGCGCTGAGACACTGGGAGAGAGGATGAAAGACTAGACACTGGCGAGGGCTGCCTTGACGTCACAAGTGGTACATTGTTCAAACCAGAATTCCACTTTAGATTGGAAACCTGGGTGCTGGTACATCCGCCATTGTCGGAACCCTGGGTGCTGGTTGGTACATCCGCCAAGGAACCGGCGGCTATTCGGTCAGGCGCTTTTTCTTCCAGGCTTCCACGTTGGAAGCCTGGATGCTTAACAGGCTTTGTGATCGGACATCGACCTCTCAGCAACGCGCCTTTGTATGCCGGCGACTTGTTGCACGTGCTTGCATTTGTTGCGTTGCAACGTATTCTGTTTGAGCAAGGCCACAAGCAGTTGCATGTACCTATAGCAGAACGATTCTGCAGCCTCAACAGCTTTCGCACTTGTAGTGTGCCTCCTCTCTCCGCTACTGCACGAAGCACTGCGAAGCCGATTTTCTAATCCTGACTAAGGGGCCGGCGTGTCCATACTGGCCACTTCTCGCTTTCCCCATTGAACAGGGGCCAAGGAGCTACAGGCAATCCTCCGACAAATTGCTGGGTAGGATCAGCAGTGCAGCAGGTGTTTGTCCATACCTAGCAACATGCTGGGAATAACATGTTTGCAGCTCCTTCCTGCTCCCCAGCTCCTGGACCCCAGTTCCTGCTCCTTTTCTTGCTCCAGTTCCCTTTGCATTTAACAAATGAATTGAGATTCTGTCTGGGAGCTTTGGCGACACATAGTTGAAGTGTTTGAAAGGTCCAAGTCAGTTGAATTGCTACTGGGGTGACCAATGATAGGACAGAACACAGCCATCAGAGAACATGTTGTAAAATACATTTTGCATGCCACGACATCTCCTGAACATCATGACCGCCGCTGAGGTCTGGAGGGAGTTCTTCTTCCTAGCAGCCTTCAAAGCCTCACCTTTGGCCATCGTTTCACTCAAAGTTTGCAGCCTTTGGACCTCCCACAACTGCAAAGCCTCCGATGTCAGGGCATCACCGCTGATTGCTTTTAAGCGCTGGAACGTGTTTGGTCGGATCTGGGAAATCCTGACCCTGACCCGAAGGAGAAGGCACAGCTCGTTCCAGGTTTGGAAAGGGCTATTGTGCCGAACGCTGAGTACAGTTCGATCGAACTGTGCCGAACGCTGCCTTTTTGCTTTGCCAGGCCCCAGTTGCAGCAGTTGAACTGTGCCTGCTGCCTGCCCGGTTCAGCCAGTACAGTCGCAAAAGCAGCTGAACTACAACCTATCCGTCTCGACACCCATCGGTTTGCCTATGCCTTCGGATCCGCCCCAAAAAAAGACTGCCGCGCGCGCGGTGCCGTTCCATTTCTACCGAAATGTTCTTTGTTCACAAACTTACCCTGGTCTTTCACCACACTGTCTACGAAGCCCACTGCGCGGGGGAGCATCCAATCGGAGGATTGTCCCTTGCTTCAGTGAGCCTAGGCCTAGTCCAATGAACTCTTCAATGCCCCCGGCATTGGCGCGCGTTCCTTTTTTGTTGTGAGAACCTAGCACGTTGGTTCGGTTTTTCGAGAACCAAGTGCTCATTCCTACAGACGGATCCGTCGAGGAGAGGGAGCAACACGAAAATGGGGTACTGAGCGGGTCGGTAATCTAGAAGAAGAGAGAGCTAGATAGAAAGACAAAGATAGAGAGATGGAAAAAAAGGTAAGTTGGAGAAAAGCGGAACAAAGAAAAGGGGTACCGCAATTCACCCCAAGTGCCTCAAGGGTTAAGTTTTCTGGAATGAGGCACCACGAGGTATGAGAGAGCCAAGCAAGCTGAATTGTGCCAGCCCATACAGTGTTGCAAACCATCTCAAAAATGAAGAACTGTTGGTTGCTGCTGTCACCTGCAACCTGTCAGGGTGCCCTGTTTGTTTCCACCCGCGAATCAGCTGAAGGCGCTGGTGGTCGCTCAGTTCATACGGTTTGCGTGGGAAGGAAGCGGTTTGGGTTCCATTGGGGCTTGGCAGGCCCCTTGCTTTAACTAGCTGCGCATGAGCAATCCGGTGCAAGGCTGGATTGATGAATCTGATGATTGAAACCTTGTGACAGGCACGAAGGATGGGTAGAACTTAGAACATGGTGACAGTTCAGACCATACTTGGGTCGGTATCACTGTCAAAAACCAAGAGTAAGAGGGCGCGTCTATGAAGTACGTGATCTACTGATCTACTTGTATGCACTACTACTACTACTACTACTACTACTACTACTACTACTACTACTAC